ATATGGTTGCCATTTTTTATAAATGTTCCCATAGAAATTTGTTCCATTAGCATGTGTGCAGTAAGGAATGTTTAGGGTTTTCCTTCCCATTTAAACCAAAATGTATTTCAAAAATTAAGAAATGGGCAGCTTCATTTGGATAAATGCAGTTTCTGCACATGCATCTTAATATTTTATCCCAAAATTTATCCTGAGTGTATATTGACAGTGTAGCACAATATTCAGTTTTGAATAATTTGAAGGAGCTATAGCCAGAGAGCAGAGAGCAGATGGCATCTTTCTTTTCTTGTTTGCAGCTTTATAGTTTAACATGAGTTCCTTGAAAAGATTGCTGGTAGCATGGCTGTTTTGTGCACCAGATCAGTATTTGTATGCAGGAACTATAGAGTCATAGTACAAACCTGCAAATTGTATCTGACTGTTATTCCAAAACAAAACTATTTTCATCAAATATATATAGTAAAAGGTTGTTTAAATATCTCTTTATTTGTATATACACAAATTTCTTTTTAATAATATAAAAGGAAAACTATAAACTTAGTTTAATCCTGAAATGCAAGTATTACAGTAATTGGGACTTTCTTTTAAGACAAAATGGAGGATACACAAAGTATCGCTTTCTTGGTGTAGACAGGATATGGACAGAGTGCTTTGTGAAGTCAGCATCGAGAATCTGTGCAAGTATGCACAGTAACTTCAAGAAGTGTTAACAGAAGTGAAAAAAATACTTGAAAGTGGTTGACATTAGCATTACTGTACCATCTCTTAAGACTGGAGTCCTATAGGCTCAAATACTTTACAAAAAGACAGGAAGAAAGAGTTCAGTCCTAAAGATCATTCCATCTTCATTGAATAAGCAGGAAAAGGGAAATGGACTGTATAAAGACAATACTCACATACAACGCTTGCCATTTTTGTTTTGCAAAATATTACTTCTGTGTTTGCACCATGCTGTTCTATATATGGAAAACACTTCAAAAACTGAAATGTAAATATAGTTACTCAAGACAAAGCAGGAAAAGTTTTAATTGGTTGTTTCTGATAAGGTTATGGGTTGCTAATTTACATTGGCCTAGAGCAGGACTGTCCAACTGGCACAGCCCACAAGTGCTTAATTTGTGATTGGCAGGCTCCCACCTGAGCACCATTCCCTCCCATTACTCCTGCTGCAGCTAGAGACATATAGTTTGCCACGCTGGGCAGAGTTGGGGGACAAGGATCATTTCAGTTCCCTTTGGTTTGAGGAGAGACGCACAGGGAAGTTGGATTCCTAATTTCCGTTGAAAGTCAGTGGATTTTTCTGCAATCTCGTATCTGTTTGTACCTTTGAAAATCTCCCCCCTTTATTTCTCTAGTTCACAAAATGTGGCCCGCAGGCCAAATGCAGCACACAGACCCTTTTGATGTGGCCTACCACACAGGACTGCCTCTTATAAATGGCCTTTTGGGGTGAAGCTTTGGAAATACCTGCTTAAGGATGTATGCATGTACTAGAAATTACCATGTAAAAAGTTGGGTCATTTAGCTCTTCATTGTATTGTTATTGCATCTTTATGTATGTGTGTTGTATTCTCATTTAATCAGGACTTCGGGGGGAGGGGAGAGGCTCTATTAGCAAGGCCCAGTGGCTGCTATGGCAGAAAAAGGTACTGGGATTTGGATAAACTGTGTGTGGGTTTTTTATAGTGTTCTCTGCCAGCAGGCATCTGATGTTTCAGTTGCTCACTCCTAGAAGTACAAAAGGAGTTTCCTTCCTTGTGCTGTTTCAGAGCTTGCTTGGTTGCGGTACAATGGGAATAAGAAATAGAGAAGACATTGTGGCTGCTTTCTGCTACTTATGCTTCTTTCTAACTTCTGTATTTTGTGATCTCCTTCTTTTTGAATTATACCAGTGCTTGCCATAACTGCTGCTCATAGCTTTTATAACAAGCAGCAACCATTGCATAGAAATAGTAACTTACTGGGTTGCAGTGTTCTGAATAGCAGCTACAAAACAGAATAAATGGTTTTATTTTCACTCTGCATTCATATGGCAGGACTTTGAACAGAAGGGTCACAGCAGTCTAAATCTGTCATTGGGAAGATCCCACTGCATTGATTAATGCTTGACTTGTGTTCAGAAGATTATCTTTATCTATAAGGGTTAAAATTTTAAATTAATTCTTCATTAATTAATAAGGGACTTGGGAAATGGAGTTTATTTAGTCTCCTCTCCACCCCAGCCCTTTTTTATAAGATCAGGAACTAATAGTGTATCCAGTGAAGAAGGACTGAAATAAAGAAAGCTTTCTGTTTGTTATCAAATAACTTCTTTATAAATTGTTTAAAATACTGCTATGATATCAAGCAACCTGAAACTAAATGGCCTCAAAAAATCTTACCTTAATTTTGTAAATATAATTCAAAGATTTTTCTGTGGTTTATGTGCTTAATTCCTTTGTACCTATTTGCTACAGCAGATGGCTAATGTCACTTCAGGACTCTGGTGTAACTGGACTAATGTTTGCCTGTTTTTACTTAGAACAAAATACAGCATTACCCAGAATTTCTGTAATCCATTTTTTCAGTTTCAGGGTCAAAAGCCGAGAAAAAATACTTTCCGTCTCAAGATGCAGAAAATCCAAGTGGATATTGTGGTGGTGATCTATAACCAACAAGTCTTAATAGATCCTTAACCAGTATTTTTAATCAATGATGGCAATTTTCTGCTGAACAGCAGTTGTGAAAAAATACAGTTTTTCCTGAAGCCAGAGAGTTTGTTGTCCTAGTCCATTATAAATCTGAGGGTTTATTTTAAAGGTTAAAAATAGAGGACTTTTAAAACATGGATCTCTTTCTATTTAAGTACAGTGGTCCAGTTCTGTGTTTTGTGATTTTAAACCTTAGTTATCATCCAGCACTGTGAAATATGTATAACTTGCTAATGTCTATTGTTATTAAGCATAGGAATTGCTCTTTGACATTCTTATCTTTTATCTTATTCTGACACTAGTCAGTCTACATTGCTAAAGATTGTTTTAAAAAGATGTTACCTCTTGAATGTCAAAAGCTATTTTTGATAGGAAAATAAATCTTTTGTTTTTTCTAATTCTGTCATCTTTGGATTTTCATGCGTTTAACCATTGGTACGACAAATTCAGCCAAACTTTATATTGAGATTTAGAAAGTAGGGGTCATTTGAGTTGTACTGATTTATCCTGCATTGATTTACCCTTCATATTGAAGACAGCCATTGCAAATACTCATACCATTTCATTTTGAATTCCTAATGAAAATGGGATGCAAATTTGTTCTTGCAACTATACCACTGAAATGTCTGTAGAACTGTGATCACCATAGGGTGTTTTAAAAGATGGGGAAAGAAGCTGAAGTAAGCCTCTACAAGTGATTTCACACTTTTTTCTGTTGAAACAAAAATGTGATAAACTGTAGAAAACAGAGGAACAAATGTGTGTGTTGTGAGACAGTATAAAATATTAATATTCCACATCACTTTATTACTCTCTCTTCTAAGAATAGTCCACAAATGGAATTCATTGTTTCAGTATCGTCCCTTAGAACAGTTGGGGGAAAAAATCTTGAATTCTCTATCTTCTCCACAAAGTGTTACTAGGAGAGGTGTATAGATTGCTAATGGGGAAGGCAAGACATTAAAATACAATGTTTTATTTGAATAGCACTTTTGATAGGCAGCTTACAAAATTAATCATCTTTTGAATTTTTTAGTTGGAGGGATTTTTATTTGCAATTTTCATAAGTGTTCTTCATTTATTTTCAAAGGATATGTGCATCTGAAAGAGAAAAGTAAGAAAGCAAATGAGAAACCGCTACTTCAGATATAGTGAATTATTCCAAAAGAAATTTCAGGGATTAAATATAATCCTCCACTGAGTTTTTATTATTAGCTTGTCTATAGGTTCTTTTTAGCTATTCCTGTTGAGACTATAATTTGTGTAATTATGGATCCTGTGGGTACTTTTGTGGGATCTGGGACATAGTTTTTAAATATTTTGACATACAGGTTTTTATCATAGTTTAAACAAGAAAATACGAAAAAGCTTTCAGATTGTTATGCTTGTGGTATACCTTTCCAGTCTTCCTGTCCCTAAAGTTTTAGCTTTGAGATTTCAAATGTGCAATATGCAAACAAAATTATGTGCTGAAAAACATCCCTTGATTTATTTGACATGGGAATCTCTCCTAACTTCCCTTCCATCTCCTACAAAGGCTAATTATTCATCATGTAATTTCTAAAATGGAATGTAGAAGAACCTGATACCTTTTGCAGCATATGGCGTGGAGCTATTCACTTGCATCCCCTCAAATTTCACAAGTTTAAATCACTTTGATCAAGATCAGAAAAGCCAAGCATTACATGCATCAGTTTGAGGGCATTGGTTATTTAGGTGTTTCTCTTTCACTAAGAACATGTTTTATGTTCCTCAATTTCTACATTCCTTTAAAGATTATCATTCCTTATTTGGCCTTATTAAGCCAGCGGTTCTGTTTGATTATACTGAAGTAGTCATTTTTGTCAGGAGAAACAAAAATTTCAGTTTCTCCTTTGTTTTTTGGCTTTGAAGGTGTTGGTCCACTTATAGAGAAAAGGGAAAGCAAATTGCTTTAGCTAGTACTTCCTTATATAATTTCTCTGTATTCTTAAATATGTGTTAATTGTGATACTAGCAAAACTCTCAAGAAAAATCTATATCCTTTAGGAATTATCAAATAAGGATGATTGGCTCATTTCTCCATTTTAAATGCTTAGGTGCCTTCATACTTTTTGCATTTTGCATTCAGTTGTGGTTTTCTTGCACAGCTGTACCTTTTCTGTGCTCTAGTGACATCCAGAGAAGTGGCAGAGAAAAAAAAGGTTCTTGTTTTCTTGCGTGTTTTCATAGTATGCTTTGACTGACACGGTTTCATGGCAATAGGGCTTTCCCAGGTACTGAACTAAGCAAACAGGACTTAATGGAATGCTGTTTCAAACTCTTTTACAGGTACATCCACTTTTATGGAAGCATTAGCAGCCAATGGTACCACCAACCTCCAAACATCTGTAACAGGAGTGACAGCCAGCAAACGAAGATTTATTGATGATAGGAGAGACCAGCCTTTTGATAAGAGGCTACGCTTCAGTGTGAGACAAACAGAAAGTGCTTACCGGTACAGAGACATTGTTGTCAGGAAACAAGATGGATTCACACACATTTTGCTATCAACAAAATCATCTGAGAACAATTCACTAAATCCAGAGGTTAGTGTGTTTGTTAGTTTTTAGAGGCCGTAGAGGGTTGGGCTTTGAATATATATATATATTTAACATCTATTGCTAGAGTAATATTAGTTCTGAAAAAAAAATTTTAAACCTGCTGGTGGTTCACTGAATTCTAGAAGTGCCAGCATTAGTGTATTTATAGTAGCTTACATTGGGATATATACTAGTTTCTTGCCTCTTAAAAACTGAATTTTGGCTGAATATTGTTTATTTGACTGAATATTTAGATTTTCTGTCTTTCATAATATAGTTCGGTGGTTTTAAGTGCAATATGAAAAACAAACTTTATACTAAATTAAAGTTCTTTTTCTGAACTGGTTGCATATGCCACCTGCTGTTCAAATTATAGAAATGCTGAATGAATGCTATACATGGAGACAAAACCTACTAGATCTCTTCCTCATGATTGCTTTATTTTAGCTTATACAATTGTGCTGATCAAAATTGTGTTTAAGGTATATTGTTTACCTCTTTTATCTTTGGACAATGAAAAATTTAAATGTATTCAGAACATGACCTGCAGCAGAATTTGCAAATTTCCCTGTTCCTAGGGAAATGTGCAGGAATGTAACAGTTCACTCAGATCTGTCAAAAAAGGAAGAGGAGTGTTACTTTTAAATAACGTAATAAAAAGATTCTGACGAATTTAATTCCTGCTGATTTTCAGGTTATGAAGGAAGTCCAAAGTGCACTGAGTACAGCAGCTGCAGATGACAGTAAACTTGTGCTGTTCAGTGCAGTTGGTAGTGTCTTCTGCTGTGGTCTTGATTTTATTTATTTTATACGGCGTTTAACAGATGATAGAAAAAGGGAAAGCACTAAGATGGCAGAAGCTATTCGGTACGTAAAATTGCTTTTAGTCATTTACATGTTACTGTTTTTCATTGTCTAAACTAAGTTATTTTTAACTTATCCTCTTGATTTAAAAAAATATAACTATATTCTCCTTTATAGGCTTTAAGTCAACCAGGTTTTAACCATTCCCTTGTCATGTGATACAGCGTGCAGAACTTTTTTAATACTTGTCCAGTTCTGTTCAAGTTTACTGAATGTAAATAGCTACTTACTGCATTAAAACTGGATATGAAAAATTGTATCTTTGTTCATGATAAAAATATAAAGGTGGGTTCATAATAGAAATACCTCAAATGTGAGGTTCCTGTTAAAACATAATTTTTTAAAAATGTGATTAATCTGATATGCCACAACACTTAAGTGCACTTGAAGAGTAAACTAGAGAAGGTTCATAAAAAAGAATGATAGCTTTTTAGATGGATAGCTTATTTTTTTTCTAAGCAGTGGCCTAATGATAGCTGCCAAAATCTGTTTCAATGAATGTATGTAGTCTTTTAAAAATTAAAATAAGTATTATGAAGAAATCATGATGCTAAGAAAGAAATTCCCTGTGGGTTATTTGAATATTGTGTCTTATAACATTTCCAGAATTATTTCTCCCTATGTACTTTCGTAAATTTTACTTTTTGGTTACTTAAACATTGCATGAAGCAAAATACACTGACAGTATATAGAAATCACCCCTTTAATTCATTTTTTGCTCTCTGAATTAAAGAAAAAATTGTTTTTATATCATTGGTGATTATGCATGTGATGATTTAGTGGAAGCACTCTGGAGTTCGCTCAGTTTAATGTGAGACTGCCTTATGGGACCTAGGCTTCTTTTTTAGCCTTTGGAAGGCACTTTTCTCTTCTCTTTCAACATAGAAAACTGTCTCTGAAGATTTTTACTTTCATATTTCACTTACATGTGTTATAATTAAATTGTACTAGTGAATGATTTATATGATTAGTTAGTTCATTAGTGATTTTGTTTATCCAGTCACTTTTTAAAAACTTGACTGTATGCATCTTCACCATGTTTACTATGACTCTTCCCCATGAGAGGCCTCCATTTTTAAAACACCCATACTACAGAGCTATAGCTCAGCAAGGCAAACCCTTCTTGTTCCTGATTATTCCATGTTAACGTGAACATGAGCAAGGGATATGCAAGGTTCTTGTGTATTTCTGCCAGTTTAAAGCTCTTACAGTTTTAACTTAACCCTCCATTAACTTTCCCATATTCTTCTATCCCTGACAAGCAGCGCTTAGGAGTGCTGTAGCATATGTGCATGTGGTATTGACCTGCTGAATACCTGGGTGAAAAACTGATGAACGTATTACTTTAATTGGAGGAGCAAAGATAGAACCCTCAACAATTCAACGAAGAGGGTTGGAAAAGATGTATTGATTTTGACAGGCCTGAAGATAAGAGCATCACCATTTCAATGTAAAAAGTACTTAACAAAACCCCACCTGTCTCCTCGTGACAGAAATATAGGGCTACTATGGCTTGTTAATGTGGCACGGTTACTTTGGACTAAAGTACAGTGTGAATTTAAAGCATTTATAGCTACCTGCTCATGGGGGAGATTCTCATTGCAGAATAAAAGTGTACTGCTTTTGGTTTAGCTTGGTCAACTTCCAAAATCTATTAATGTACTCATTCAGGTTTTCTATATTTATCCTTTGTTGGGGGTGGAGGTAGTGCTATGACCAACTGCACTAAGATTTTGGGTTGAAATAAAGAATTTTAATATAATGTTAATTTTGAGTGGTCAGGATGGAAGGGGTAGAGAAACAAGGTGGAAATGAAAATGATGGTGGTCCTGAGAAATTAAATCTTCCTAAAATACTTTAATTTTGGTACCAACTGTAACCCAATTACATCAAAGTTGTACTTTGTTTTCTAGCATCTGCAATGTACTGATGAAGCATTATTACTTTGAACCAAATTCTTATTTTTTTAGATACTTTTTATCTTCATTTGAAGGAAACCATGAAAAAGAAAAGGAACGTTTGTGCATTTCTTCTGGTAGAAATGGGATGAGAATGTCCATTGAGATTAATTGGGCAGTCAGCTTTCCACCATACTTACAAGTCACATAAAGTCTACTTCTGTTCTGGGATCAGACCTAAAACCTAAACAGATCTCAAAGAAGGAGTTTTTTTAATAATTCTGCCAAATGCAAAATAA